TCTGTCTTAGTCTGGAAGTTCCACTGAAAGCTCTCCACCAGTAAAATACTAGTAGCATAGCTTCCAGCATCACAGTAACACACAAGCCACTGCAGTATAATAGTGACAGACGAATGGTAGCATTTTGTGTCGTATACTGTAAGAGAGGATAAGAGGCCAAGAAATATCTCAGACTTCCAAAAGTCAGAAGAGAAAAGAAAGAATTCTCTCAAGCACCCCCACCTCCGGAGCTTTTAGAGAAAGCGTGGCCCTGTCAACAGCACCCTGAATTTGACCATTAGCCTTTAGAACTCTGAAGCAATTAATGTATACTTAAAAGGCACCCACTGTGTGTGATATTGTAGGGCAAGCACTGGACTGTTAACCAAAAGGTCAACCACCAGCTGCTCCTTGGAAACCCTGTAAGGGTCATTATGAGTTGGAACCGAATCAAATCAATGGCACATAACAACAACAATAGCTGTGATACTGTGTTATGGCATTCTGGGGAAACTAACACAAGACTCCAGAAAGAACATAACCTTTCTGACACCTTGGTATTAACCCAATAAAGCCATTTTGAACTTTTAACTTTCCAAACTTTAAGATAATAAATTTGTGCTTATTAGTAGAAAAAGTAAAACTTTACATTTTTCCTCTCTTTTGACTGTAACTTAAATGAAGGTTTACAGAGCAAATTGGTTTTTCATTCAACAATTCATACACATTTATTTTCATGACATTGATTGCAATCCTCACAATGTAACAGCACTTTACCTCCTTCCCTTCTGTGTTTGTCATTTCCAATCCTGTTTCTGCCTGCCTCCTGAGGTTTATCCCTGAGCGAATGCTACCCTTTTGATTTTGCATGGCTCCAAGATCTATGGAGTGAGAATGTACCTCCCTGGTGTTAATATCCACCTTACAGGGCTGTCTATGCCTGACTTCTCAGTTAAAATTATGGACGACAGACTAAGAATATGATGGTATCTAATTTAAGTGCTGAGAGAAACAACAATAGCATGCCAATGGAGATGTCTTTGCATGGTGATATAGTCTTTGAATATAAAAATGAAATAAACGTATTTTCACACAAACAAAAATTGACAGAAATTTTCAGAGGAAAACTACCTTAAAATAAATACAGTATCTTTCCACGTATAATGCACCCATGTAGATAATGGTGTGGCACTATAGGATGAGCACTGGACATCAGCTGCTCCTCAGAAACCCTCTATAGGGCTGCCATGGGTCAGAAGCGACTCGATGGCACTTAGCAACAACAAATAACACAATACATACTTCAATAAAGTTGCAAAACAATTTAAGCAAACTCACAAGGAAACTTTTCCAGGCATGTTGAATGACTCTGGCAGCTAAGTCTTGTTTCTTTAAAACATCGAGTTCCTTTTGAAAAGGCATTTGAAAATCCTAAAACAAATAAATATATAAATGAGCAAAGGGTAATTTTGATAAAATTAAAATTATTTTATTTTGTAAGTTCTGTTATGAAACTGATGTGGCGCTGTAGGGTAAGCACTGGACTGCTAACCACAAGGTCAGTGGTTTAAACCCACCAGCTGTTCTTTGGAAACCCTATACAGGGTTGCTGTGAATTGGAACCAATTCCGTGGCACTTAATAAAAACAAAAAATTATGAAACTATCATATGAACTCAATAAAAATTACATAGAGGGTTGTACAAATGAAATCATGGAAATGACATTTGGTATCTTAATAATAATAAAAATGACAGTCTTTTTTTTTT